TCATATATTGAGCTAATTCTACACAGTCTGTCATAGCTCACTTCTCATCTGATGAAAGATGATTTAACTTCTTTTTGGGAATTTTAGTTTAAAATTTTGCATCACCGAGTCTGAAAGGGGATAGTTCTCCTTGTTTTGGTTATTTTGTTTGATGTTTTGTCTGGTGCTGCAGAGCGCCCTGGGGGATTTCACTACATTAAAGGCACTATATAAACATGGGTGAAGGTAGGTTCAACCTAGTGAGCTGTTAATCGAAATGCAGTCACAAGGTTCCTTTCCTTTAACTAAAGCATGTCAATGAAATTAAACATTCCAGACTTTCAGGTGTTACCGGGGGCCAGCCCCCACACTGGCAATGCCAAAAATTGCTGCAGGTTATGGTAGGGAGCCACCTTTGTTCAGAGATCACCATTATAGCCAGTCCAGTTCCAGGCTTCTTCCATATTATTGAGAGAAGAAAGTTGAATTGAAAGTTGAGCAGAGATGTTACAGTAAATTATTCTCAAACTGTGGGAGGAGGCAATGGCCTAGTGGTATTATCGCTGGACTGTCAATCCAGAGACCCAGATAACGTTCTGGGGAACTGGGTTCGAAACCCACCACTGCAGATGGTGGAATTTGAATTCAATAAATATCTGGAATTAAGAGTCTAATGATGACCATGAATCTACTGTCGATTGTTGGAAAAACCCATCTGGTTCACTAATGTCCTTTAGGGAAGGAAACTGCCATCCTTACCTGGTCTGGCCTACATGTGACTCCATACCTACAGCAATGTGGTTGACTCTTAACTGCCCTCTGGGCAATAAATGCTGCCTAGCCAGCGACGCCCTCATCCTGTGAATGAATAAAACAAAATAAAATTCAACTTATTACAGGTTCTCAGGACCTGAAGTTGGACAGTCATGAGCCAAATTTTAATGCCCAGGCTGCATTTTGACCGTGTTCGAGATTCATTTTTAAGATGTGGGAATATTGCGTTTGTGTGCAGCTCTAGTTCCTTTGTGGTATGATTTGTTCTGATGCGGTTTAAAATAAGGCAGGAGCCACTCAGGCAGCTCACAGGAGCCGTACTTTAATATGGTGCCCAGACTAAATGTGTTGCTGCTGGATTTTACAAATATAACATGTTCCAGTTAGCCATGATACCGGAGCATCCTTGGCCGATCCTCTGTTCTTTAGACAGTGTTTATTTTCTTTCTTTAGAGTAACATTCAACAGACATTCCAAAAGCTGCATGGAGTATTACAGGAGGATTTTAGTGGTGAGGATCTGCAGATTATAGCTTGCCCCTCCATGGACCAGGTAAGAGCTAGGCAGGAACAGTATGATTAATGAGCAGTTTGTGTGGTCATTCTGGGATGGGTTCATGTCTCGTTAGTACTTAGTAAACAAGAATTTATTTACTTTGGCAAACAGAATGAATATATAATTTAGTTGCGGCATCAGTAAACTTGTTTGATTGGAGAGGAGTTTTTATTGTCAAGTAAATCCAGAAGTCCCTAGGTAAGTGCTCTGTAAGTACATTCAATTTTGAATATTACTGAAAAACGACATGTTTTGTCAATGAGTTGGCAAGAACTGCAGATGCTGGAGTCAGATAAAAGCGTGGAGCTGGAGGAACACAGCAGGCCAGGCAGCATCAGAGGAACAGGAAAGCTGACGTTTCGGATTGTTCTGAAGAAGGGTCCTGACCCGAAACGTCAGCTTTCCTGCCCCTCT